TTTTTTTAATACATTGCTTGTGGACTCGGTAGTTTAGTGTGGTGTCTGGCACAAGGCCACTTTGTAATAAACCAGCACTGCACCCTACTGGGGCTGCAACATGTGTACTAGTGAGCCAACTAAAATGAGCTGACTCATTTTATAGTCCACCAAGAGAAGGGTTAACCAATCAGAAAGCTCAAAATATTCAATGCGACGTGTATAAAGGCAGCCATTTTGTTTTTTTCTCTTACTTAACAGCTGCTACTTTCTCTGAATCTTCACTGCCAAACTCTGATATTGAACACATTAGGGACTTCACTGGATTCCATATTCAGAGACTACGGCAAACATGGTCAACAACATCTAGCCAGCTCAGATGTGAATTAATCAGATCTTGCAGCCAGTCTAGTATTGTGCTTAAATTCATACAGTCTAGGTACCATAGCGGAGAGCTCATCCGAACAATTGCTATGAAAGTATTTATAAAAAAAAACACAAAGAGGCAACGTTAAGTGCCAGTGACTGAAGCCGAGTCGCCAGATCAGGACCAATAATATTGCTGATTTTTCTTTGGATCTTATCAAGGAGCTCAAGGTATATAGCAGGGGCAACGGACCATATGAAAGCAATATTCTAAGCATGGATGAATGGTCGACTTATAGATATGCAAGATAGATTCAAGAGATAAAAATTGTCTCGCCGATATAGTGAACAGACTTTCTTAGCAGCTGATCTAGCAATGGATTAATCAGATTTTGCCGCCAGTCTAGTATTGCGCTTAAATTCATAGAGTCTAGGTACCATAGCGAAGAGCTCATCCAAACAATTGCCATCCTGTTTAATAGATGCTTGGAAGGAGATCTCAGTAGCTACCACAGAGTGGTCTGTGTTACCAAAAGGACAGTATCAGGAGAGGCGGGAAAATAAATCCAGTAAAGAAGCCTGTTACTCAGTTTGGCTAGGGAAACTAGTAAGGAAGTCCACAATTTGAGTGAGGGATTGAGCAATGGAAACAATTAATATCTATATACCGACAACATCCGTACCTTTAGAATGTTTCAGCCACATGTCGTGGTGAGCCTTATTCACCGAAGACAAAGTTATTCGCAGATGGATGGAGAGAAAGTTCCTTTTCTATACTGTCAGCTATTGTGTCTAATATACTTGTGAAGAGTGGGGGGGCGATAAAGGAAAAAGAGATAGCTAACAGAGTTTAGTAGCGAAAGACGGAAGTACATGCAAAAGTAGTCAGCGGCATCGACTGACAATTCTCTAGCTGTCGTAAGATTAACCTGGATGTACATACCAAGGCCAAGAATGTGAATGCTGGAATCTTTTCAGCAAAAGAGAATATACCCTCGAACCAAGAATTCATTCGTAGGAATGGAATAATTCAAGTTGGTTTCCCAAAGGGCAAAGATACCTGGCGACAGTTCCAGGTGAAAAGATTCTACGCTAGTGAAATTGGAACACATAGCACGAATAATGGAGAAAGAAATGTTGAGTGGGGTAGGTGTTATTTTTTTTTGAGCTGTTTTAGTTTTATTTCTTTTTGTTGTGATTTCCATGAGATATGTTTTGAGGTGAGGGAGGGGATATTTGCCAGCCGCCCCACTCGGTCAGATGTAGCACAAGGCTGAATTTAACGTGGGTTTTCCGAGCCCGTAGGCTCGGGCAAAACTTCCCCGTAGATCCCGTATACACGGGGTCCGGTAGCTGTCTACCACCCCAGACGAAACTCTGCTCTTCGGCATACCCTCGTCTGGGTTCCGCATTGCCCGATTGCTGAGAGTTCGACTGGCACAGCTGGAGACGAATCTCCAACTATTTGCCGAATGCTTTGGGGGTAGAGAAAAAAGACCACAATTGTCATTATCAGTTGTCAAAGGCAATACAAACCAGAAAGTTCTTGGTTGAGAGCAGAGAATCATGTGGTGTTCGGGTTGACCAGCGGAAATACATGCAGGGACACCAACCCATGCGCGATATTGCGCTATAGATACCCTGATATTATGCGACTGTTGATCGGAGCAGCCTATCAAAGCGCTACCAAAGAGTTCGGTCCCTTAACGGCCAGTCGGAAGCAGCAGCCAGCAAACTGACAACACGGTAACATCACAATGGATAGCCACAGCCACTGACTAGTCTGATCACCAAAAACGTAGAGACAGTTAAACCATTGTGGTCCTGGTAGAAGGAAGACAGAGAATTGGGAAACCATATCCTCATCAGGGAACAAGAGATGAACCTCTACTCCTGTTCAATATATATGGAAGGAGTATGAACCGGGCGATAGATTAACCTATCTACTCCTATTAACCAGTAAGAAAAAGCACGTGAAATACGAAAGAATTCATATTAAGTTGTGACTTAGTATAAGTTCTGATCAGTGCTACCAACTTGAAAACGGGATGTTAAAACTTAATGCAATCTTGTTGCGTTAGATTTCCAGCATTGACAAGTCACATTCTAAGGTAAACTTTTCTATATTAAAAACATTGCGGTGAGGGACTGAAGTAAGATGTTTGATAACTAATAGCAATGGAGGGAACAAAATACTCATCACACAATAAAGGATAGGTGAAAACATCACAGTCTAAAGCAGCAAACAACAAGAAAAAAATTGAATGAATGACACAGAAATTTAAACATCTACACCAAGATGATACAAGGCAAAGTAATTTACATACAGGCTCTTTGTTTATCTGAGTATTGAATACTACTATCCCGTTTGATTCTGTCAAGTGTTGTATCTTGCCGGACCCCTCATAACAATACAAATAGAATGGGTCTATATTTCTGAGATGAGGTATTATGTACACTATTTACATTATTCGGACTATTGTCCTCATCTTTGTTGACATATTTATTACAATGTTTCGGCCGTTGTACGCTCCGGCCGTTGCACGTTTCGGCCTTCTTCAAGTGGTTGGAATGTCGAACTGAACCCTTTATTTCGCTCACTGGGGTAGACTGTTCTAGTTCCACAAGCCATGTTTAATGGATGCCAGTTATCATTTGTCTCCTATTAATTGTCCCTCTCCCATACCGGGCTAAAGCAGTGGAGAACTTGGAGAGGGGAATTAACAGGAGATAACAGATACCTGACAGAACTAGAACAGTCTACCCCAGTGAGCGAAATAAAGGGTTCAAGTCGACATCCCAACCATCTATCTATCTATCTATCTATCTAACAGTTTGTAAATTTCTATTTGAATGTTTACAGCCTAGATAGCTTGGTATATACTTCTCCGCAAATAACTGACTGCACACCCTCGATTTTGGGCGATTAATTTTTCCCACCCTACAACCAATTTCTCATAGACAAAAAGTCTCAAGCCTATCGAATATCGAATATCTATATCTATAGGCGAAGTACAATTATTTAGTTCTATGAAATCTAACCCTCACAATTATAGCCCGCCACACCGCATACACTGAGACGATCCACCCTCATATACCATTTGTATTCCGTTAGTAAATTTTTTAAGCGTTTCACCCCAAGCAAGCCGGGAAGCCACTAGCAAGCAAGGGTTTACAGAGAGTTGGAGAGAGAGCAAATAGGAGTGATAGATGAAAAGATGAAGAGAAGGATAGGGGATAGATCAGGACGTCTGGAGACGTCGATTGACATTACATTTGAATAGTTGGAGATTATAGCTATTAGGGAAACAGAAAACGGGGAGGGGGTTCCACAAGCGAAAGTCCGAGACATGAAGCTATTGGAGTAGAAGAGACGGCTACGTTTAACAGTTTCGACAGTGAAAGGGTGAGAGCGAGATGTCAGCCTAGTAGAACGCTAAAATTCATGAAGTCTGGGAAGCAGCAAAAGCAGCTCATCGGAGCAGTGACCATAGGATGTTCCACTTGAATAGCTTCTTGCCACCACACGCGACTTTGTCACGTCTAGAGTTCCCTGATATATTTCTCCGATGTCCGCGTTAATTGCGCCAGTCAGTTCTTATTCCTCCTGTCCATAAACCACCGTCCTTTAGAAGCTGTCAACCCTGAATGGTTTTTGGGGATTGTACGGAAAGATGTTGAGGACACCATGAACTGAAGATGTGAGCAACGGCGAGGTTTTGGAGAAAATAGAAACAAAAAGGAAACTTATACTTAACACCAGGAAGAAACAGTTGAAATTTCTCGGGTACGTAAATAAGGAAGAAGCGCTTGGAAAACCTGATACACACAAGGCAGATTGAGGGCAAGAGGTATGGAGTAAAACAGCGCTTAACATAGTGAGCTTGAGTAAATTGATGGTAAAACAATAAGAGAAATAAAAAAAAGACAAAACTTAAAAGCTACAACGGACAGGAAGTTGTGGACGGCCATGATCGCCTACGCCTTGAAGGCACACGGTACATATAAGAAAAATATGATAGGGTTAACATTAGTGAAAATATTTGTTTGGAACCTTATAATGGCTTTTGTATTCTCAGTGCTGAACTTATGTCTCAAGGACGCTCTTCTCTAAATATTTTCGATCTTGCGCTATAAAAGCATTTCTCGTTGAAACATTTTATCATAAACCTTCTTAAGTTTTGAGCTGGTTTTATATATTGTTATTCATTTTTTCGTCTCCGGTATTTTTTTTCTTCGGAAATGTCATTTTAAATTGTGTTGAAGAAATGCAATTGACTTAGCTTTTTTATTTTCTATTATTACATTTTATTTGTAATACTTTTTTTTAAATTTTATTTTCGCTTGTTTTTCTTCAATTGTCTCCGTGATAAGTAAATTAACGAGACCTCAGCATTTATTCAAGTGCTTTGACATTTTTCGTTTACTCATCTACTTTTATTATTTAAGCAACGATTTTTTTATGTGTGGCTTTTCAGACATTACTGACTGACAGAAGACGCTATTAATCTTCCCAAATTCCAGTTGACGAATTCAATAAATAATATTAAAATTATTTGTCGCATTTCTTTTTTTTTTTCTTTTTTGCTTTTTATTTTCGTTTGGCTTCTTTCCGTTCAACCTGTCAACGTTTGCCTCCATTAATATTGGCTTATATGGAGAAATGTGGCCAGGGCAGCTCTCTCTCTCTCTCTCTCTCTCTCTCTCATCCATCTATCTATCTATCTATCTATCTATCTATCAACCTCATCCATCCATCTATCTATCTATCTATCTATCTATCCATCCATCTCTATCTCTATCTATCTCTCTCTCCCCTATCTATCTATCTATCTATCTATCTATCTATCTCTATCTCCATCTCTCTATCATCTATCTATCTATCTATCTATCTATCTATCTCTATCTATCTATCTATCTATCTCATCTATCTATCTATCTATATCTATCTATCCAAATCCATCCTATCTATCTATCTATCTATCTATCTATCTCTCTCTCTCTCTCCTATCCATCTATCTATCTATCTATCTATCTATCTATCTATCTATCTATCTATCTATCTATCTATCTATCTATCTATCTATCTATCTATCTCTATCTCTCTCTCTCTCCCCCTATCTATCTATCTATCTATCTATCTATCTATCTATCTATCTATCTATCTATCTATATCTCTCTCTCCCCCATCTATCTATCTATCTATCTATCTATATCTATCTATATCTCTCTCTCCCTATCTATCTATCTATCTATCTATCTATCTATCTATCTATCTCTCTTTTCTAAGCATCTCTCCATCTCTCTTTATTTACTTATACTTTCTTCTTTTTCTGTCTATCTGGCTGGCTTTGATTCTTTCTTTCTTTCTTTCTTTCTTTCTTTCTTTCTTTCTTTCTTTCTTTCTTTCTTTCCCTAAACATATTTCATGTCTTTATTCTTTTTCTTCTCCTTATTCATTGGTGTATATTTTCTTTTCCCATTGTCTTTCTTTTGCGTATCTTTCTTTCTTTCTTTCTTTCTTTCTTTCTTTCTTTCTTATAAGTATTTTACTGGCCTTATTCTCACTCTCTTCATTATATTATGACATGTTTCTTTTTCATTCGTCCTTTTCCCCCCACTCTCTTTATTTTTTTCTGGACTTATTTCCTTTATTTGTTTCGTTAGTCTTTCTTTCTGTCTTTATTTACTTATTTATCATAGTAATCATTAGCTTATCGGTCTCTTGCATTGTCTCAAAATTTCCCTTTGACAACCACTTTTTTTTCTTTCTTCTATCTATAATTCTTTTAAAGTCCTGTTTCTCTGCTCGCATTATTACATCTTCCTTTTTACCGTAAAACTTTTCTTTCATTCTATTTTTCTTCCGTTCGTTCCTTCTTCTTTCTTTCTTTCTTTCTTTCTTTCTTTCTATAAAACTTTTGAAGTCCTTTTCTCTGCTTGCATTCTCTTCTTTTTTTCCATCAACCTTGTCTTTCTTTCTTTCTTTCTTTCTTTCTTTCTTTCTTTCTATCTATCTATCTATCTTTCTTTCTTCTTTCTTTCTTTCTTTCTTTCTTTCTTTCTATCTTTCTTTCTTTTTTTCTTTCTTTTTTTCTTTCTTTCTATAAACCACTTGAAGTCCTTTTCTCTGCTTGCATTCTCTAATCTTTCTTTTTTCCATCAATCTTGTCTTTCTTTCTTTCTTTCTTTCTTTCTTTCTTTCTCTCTTTCTTTCTGTCCGTCTGTCATTCTTTCTATAATCCTGTTAATGTCCTTCTTCTCTGCATTCTCTCGTCTTCCTTTTTCCGTCCACATTTTGTTTTCTTTTCTTTCTTTCTTTCTTTACCGTTATTTTTCTTTCTCTCAAGAAAAGCCATGCAAGAGAGAAAAAAAAAAACAAAAAAAACAAGCCAACTCCCATAAACAAACAAATAAATCATTTCTTTGACGCCACAATAAATTGGATTCATTCAAACACTTATTAACCTGCCACATTTCTTCAAATGTCTAGACCTCTTGCTGACAGGCGATCAGTAGCCAGGAGAGCAAAACCGATCATTCTTTCTTAGCTTCAAACACCAACCTCGCTAAATAGAAATTCACCAATCTTCTACTAGCTTCAATCACGTCTTTTCTTTATTTTTATATATATATATATAATCTTTTACTGATCTTTTTTTATAATCTGTGCGTCAAATGATTCTTTTTTTTCTTTTACGGAATCAGTGATAAGAATTTGGTTCCACTTCAATACAACTCTCAACATACAATTGTACTTTTTTTCTCTTTGAATATTATACTCTTTTGTTTCGTAAAATCTTTAATTCATAGCCTATGAGAACCGAGGGAATATACACCGCGTTTCTACAAGACATATTCAGAAAACAAGAACGTTGAGTGTTAAATCGAACAATTATTACCTGCTTGGCCCACTCTAAAACAAGTTTACTTTGAGTAATTTTTAAAAGGTTTTTAAAATTCGTGAAAATTACACCGGGTGCGGCAGAAATACTTCCCACATATACCTCCTGAAAGACCTTCTACAGAATGTTAAGATTCTACTGGCTGTGGTGTCTTCCTCTAGCTAATTTCTTACTATTATACAGCGAGTTCTGATAAGTTTATAGCGCCATCCCTTGATTACAGCAATTTAGGCTTGTTTAATAACGTCACTTATTTCTTTTTTTAGACAACCCCGTATTAGTATCAAGCTACTCTCATCTATGAACAAGAGTTGACATATCTTGAAATGAAAGTTCGTGGAAGTAAGGAAATTAGTGAATTTCAACAATACGATGGCATCAGTGTGGCAAGTCAAATAGAGAAATTGCTAGGATTTTCCAGGTTAATCATCAAACGGTGAATAATATTGTCAAGAAATTTAATGAAGGTCATTGTCGTGTGAAACAACGTTCAGGAAAGCCAAGCATTGTGTCTGAGCAAACGAAAAAGCCATTGAATAGGGAAGTCATCATAACATGTCGTCATAGCGTCAAAGATGTCGCCAACAGCAAGGAAATGTCGCCATATTCGGTGAGAAAGACTCTGAAAGAGCTAGACTATCAAAGAAGAGTTGCAAGAAAGAAGCCCTTGATTTCAGAGTTTAACAGGAAACTTCGTATGGACTGAGCAAGAGAATTCGAGAGCAAAGATTATGAATTTCGTCAGTCTGTAATTTGCACAGATGAAGATAAATTCTGCCAATATTCGAATTCGAGATTTGTTTTATGTTTGGAGAAATCAGAATGAGACTTGAAACACTAAATGTCTGCAAGCGACAGTGAAACATGGAGGGATTGGAGTAATGGTGTGGGGCGCGGTCTGGTTTAGAGGGACATCTGAGCTGATTCTTGTTGACGAGCGGTTGAATGGTCCAAAATACTGTCAAATATTAGAGAAAGGACGACTCCCACTATTTGAAACCAATCAAATTGACAAGAATGTTTACCATTTTCAAGAAGATGGAGCGTCATGTCTTACGAGCAAAGTAGCAAAAGCCTGGAAGGAATCGCAAGAAATCAAGTCACTGCCATGGGTAGCCCAAAATCCTGACACGAATCCAATAGAGCCTGTTTGGGAGCACCTTGATCGAAGATTTCGAGAGCGTGCAAGCAAAATCACATCAGTGGCAGCCCTTAAAGAAACGCTGCTAAAGGAATGGAAAAATATGGCTCAGACAATAAAAGCACTGAAACAAGCTAATGGGGGACCTATTCTATACTAGTTCCAAATACTGTTTGTTTATGTTGAATAGGCATTACGTAATTAAATTTTGAAATTGGATGTAGTTTATTTCTCTTGGCTAAAAACCTTTCTTAGGCCACTGTATAGGAGTCTTGTTTTTTCTTTTTTTTTACTAAAGTTCATTCAATACAAGGCGCAAGAGTTACCATGTGGTGTTGTATGAGCATAAGAAAAGTCAAGAAGTGAAGCTGTGAGGGCCTATGCATGAAATATAACGGTTAACTTGAGACTTGAATCGGTCAAGATTTAATTAATGAATAACATTTCAGATTTCAGTCGAAGATATATAGTGGGGAAGTGAACTTTAAAAGGAACTGCAAACAAAGGATAAACGTGTACTCCTTTTTTAAAAACGGAGGAGGAGTAAGAACCGGACGATAGGCGAACCTATCTACTCCTATTGATGGAGGAGAATAAAATAAATAATTCATCAGTGCTCACTCGGAGATGTTAGGATACTAGAGTTGAAGTAGGCTTTAGAAAAAACTGAAAACACAGTCCTAAATAGGAAAGGGACTAATCTGTAATCCCGTTAAACATAATGTGAAGGAGTGTGAACCGGACGATAGGCGAACCTATCTGCTCCTATTATTTCTGGGACTTATATGTGGAACGTATTTCTGTTGCTCCCTTTACAAGCCTTAAAATATACTAATATTAGAAATTAGAATTATTTATAGAAAAATTCACCTAATACAAGGCTCGAAAGGCACTCAAGTTAGAGTTGAAATACTAATGATCAATTCGTTGCGTTATATGTATAAAAGTAGACTTGGTAGGGAGTGAAATATATGAGAATAAATAGGGATAATGACGATCGATCTTTAACTCGAAGAAGCTAAGATTGTCGTTTTTCGAGAAGCAGCTTGTAGGAGCCTAATTCACAAAGTCCAATTTCTCTGGGGAGGGAAGGTGCCTGTCTTACTTGACTCTTTGATGTGGAACACGAAATAAATGTGTATATTCGACTCTCTTTAAGTAGCTTGGGGTATCTTTGATGTTAAATTTAGAACTGGTGGGACTAAAGAATTTGACTTCATCTGAACACTTGGCATGGAAATGAAGTTAGAGTAAATATAGGCTTGCAACGTCTTCGTCTCTGGGAAAGAGATTGTCGAGTGGACAATATGTCTCGCCCGATCAAGACCGAACAAGACCGCATCATTACATAAGCGTGTGACCGTTAGAGCGTCCGTTTTCCGGCTATGAGAGCTGGGTTTTAATCTCACCACCACCACTGTCAAAAAGATGATTTCTTTAAGTTATCAACCAAGGCAGACGACCCAAGCGTGTGGCCCCGATGGGAAGTGTCCGAAAAGCATAGCTACGGATACCTTGTGAGTGAAATTGGGTAAACGGAATTTTTCGGGGATGGCTATGCTAGCACAAAGTCACTAGTCACCGTGACGGAGGGTTTGAGCGCAGTGGCCTTGTTCAAAATGTTGCTCCTACCAGATGATGCGCTCTCCCCCAAAACTATAACTAATGTCTGTTGAGCATAGTTACAGTTTAAACCACGTGTGGGCTATGGGTGTTAGACAAACGGAAATATGTCTGAGCAGGCGTTTTCAGCAGGGATTGGCTAACATTCCCTTTCAGACAAGCATACTGGAGGGCGAAATAAACTTTCGAAATATGGAGAGTCACTGAAAGTGATATTATATTTTAGTTTTTTCGTGTTTTTGGTTAATTTTGATGCGTTTAGTAATCTGCATTGCATCTAAAATAAATAATCACAATAAATCTACAACCGGATGACTTATCTCGAAGGCTGTATATGCCAAATCCACTGGGTGGGGGATAAAACATGCAAAGCTCTATACTGTAATAACTGAGGGAGCTAGGATGTTTCCGGTTAGGCCATAGCGTTAATTCTTTTTACACGAAAAAGATCGTGGGTCATATTTCTCGAGTTGGGGTTTTATTTAAATTTATTATCGCCTATTAATTCAACTTGAAATTTCAAGATTTCGAGGAAAGATAAAAAAAAAAAAAAGCAGATCGTTACTTGGACTTCGTTTTTTTTAAGGGGACCTCTTTAACGAATCCATTTATTTTCCATTCTGTTTTTTTTTTATTAAATGGGACGGAGTTTCGTACAAGACAAGTCAGGAATCGCAGATGGTGATAGGAAGATTGTGTTACGCCACATTTCCAAAGTGTCAAAGCGTCGTGCTTTTTCCTTGGGTTTCAATACCGAACACTTGAAACACCTGTCCCCGTACTATCACAGAAGTTAAGCAACGTCTAGCCTGTTCACTACCTAGATAAGGGAGCGCTTGGAAATACCATGTGCTGTAAGCTTGGATGTGCAGGTGGTGTAAAGGATAATGGCTCGGAATTTGAAATCGGAGAGCAGAGTTCCAATCCCAATCCGGTTCGTTATATTCCCTTACGTGCAAATACTCTTGGGAAAGTTAATTCTTCCCTCAGCTATAGGTGAATTAGTAAGACTTCTATCACTAAATCATTATTATCCCCCCCAAAAATCTTACAGTCTAAATACATTTTCTGGCTTTAATAATCTACAAAAGGTTGATAGGCCGTAAAAAGCAAATCAATACCGAACACTGAAACCCTAAGAAATATGTCTCTATTCTAGGGAGAAAAGTGGGCATAATAAATTTCGAATATTTCCCAACTATTAGACTAAGTACGTAAGCATTTTCAGTGTATTTTGTTCGTCGTATATCTACTTATTTACAATAACAGAATATAGAATATTTTGTCAGCGTTAAAATGAGTTCTGTTAAAATTGTCATTGTTAATCTTTGGCGTCCGTTTTATTTAAATTATTGTTTGTTTTGTTTGTTTTTTTTATCCCTACATTCAAGGTAATGCACTCTCTATCCGTCAAACTAAGTAACGTTAGGATTGTCATCGTTAATTTAAGGTCCCCATTTTTTTTATATTAGAATTTTTGTGCAACGCGTGATGAAATCCTTACAGTATTTAATATTGTTGAAATTATCGCGAACATTTTTGTTGAGATTTACAAACTCTACGTTTCGTTCGATTTCTCAAACCAATCGATGAAATTTGAATAAACTGATTTGTTTGGAAAATATTTTGACAAAAACCCTACTTCACAGTTTAATAATTTCTTTAATTTAATTTAATTTGATAAGACTTCATGGGAAACAATATTTTTTCTTGCCTTTTTAACAGCGGAGAATAAATTCTTAGGATTTCTTACTCTTGAGCAAGCAACTTAAAACTAGCCATGCATAAATATATCTTTTTGGGGCTAAAGTTTTGAAGCGTTTGGCCTTGTGTTTAGTTTAAATTTCTCGCAAACGCAAGGCTAGCTGGAAACTGGATTCTTTTATATAAAAACTTAACGACAATGTATGCAAAAACAATATTGCCTTTCTATTAAATAGGCATTTGTTATTTTAATAATTAAATTGTTTTGAAATAGTGGGAGTATTTTGCTTGCTAACTAATAAAACTTTTTATTTCTCCAAAAATATAATGTAAATTGATTGTACGAAGCTTCTTTTCTGTTTATGTGTCATGTCCTTTCAGGATGTAGGTGATCATGCTTCTCCACGTCCCTCTATCCCTTGCAGCTCTTAACAAGTTCCTTACTCCTGCTACCTCCCCCAGACCACATTCTGTCGTTCATTTGCGTGATCTTGCTAGGTATGTCATGTGCTGTTTTCCCTTGTCTCTTTTTCCCTCTATTCGACCAGTGAGTATCAAATTCTCCAGGCCGTCCCGCCTCATTATGTGTCCCAGAAACTTCAGCTGCCTCTTCATGATGTTAAGTATAATCCTCCTCCTTGTTTGCATCCTCTCTAAGACCTCATCGTTGCTCACACGCTCGATCCATGATATTCTTAGCATCCTTCTGTAGAATCATATCTCCATCGCCTCAAGTCCCTTCTTCATCTTTGAGGAAATCGTCCAACATTCGCTGCCGTAAAGAACGACAGATATCATGTAACAGCTCAGTATTATTGTCTTTGCTACCAAATAAATCCTCCTGTCTCACCATCCCGATACGTCTACGGATCTCAGTGTCGTACTTACCGTCCTCTGTCAAAACGCTTCCCAGATATTCAATCTTCCGCGTCTGCTTGATTCTAATGTTCTCGACCTGTAAACCGCTTTTACGTACTCTAATAAAATTAACTGTATTTTGTACCCCTCCCCAAATTTGATTTCGATCGGCCAATGCATAGCTATTTTAAAGGGTGTGACGGACGGACGACAGTCACAGAATTTTAAATAAAGATTATTGTTGCATTTTCTTGTTGGAGTTCACTTGAGTGTTTTGATGATTAATCGTAGGCTAGACTTTTCTTCATCTCATTGTTTGCTTTTTAGCCTAACATTTCGGTTGAAAACTCTTCGACCGTTAAAGGAAGTAACGTAAGTAAATTCATTATTTATGGGCAGCCATTCTTTTCTTCATCTTACTGTTGCTTTTTATCCCAAATTTCTCGGTCAAATAGTATCTGACCGTTAACATAAAAATAAGTAGCATATTTTCTTTATCTATTATCTTTAGTCTCTTTTTTATCGTATCGTTGATTTGATGCCAAATTTTTAGACCAAATTATTCAACAACTGTTAAAGTATGTGGCGTTATTATATTCGTGATTAACCTTCGGCTAGTTAGTACCGTAGGGACAAATCTTTTCTGCCGAATACTCTCCGACTATTTACCATGTATATTCGTGTATAAGCCGAATTCATCTATAGTGCCACCACTGGATTTATTTATTTTTGCATAAATTTTAACCACTCCAGAAATAAATTTACCAGTGAATAGCGGAACCGGTTACCGAACATGCATGAGTTTTAACCACTTCAAAAACTTACCTAGGTATATCCATTACAATACCCGCACATCCAAAGATTACAGCACTGGCATTTCCAAGAGTGATATGGTAGTAAATGCTGGAAAACTCTTCACAAATGAAGAGACATGAGACAACAGAGATACGGATCTACAGAAGGCTGCTGAGGATATTATAGGTGAAACATGTGAGCAACGAGGAAGTTTTAGGCAAAATGGAAACAAAAAGGATACTTATACTTAGAATAAGAAACAGATGGTTGAATATTTTAGGACACCTAATAAAAAAAAAAGTCTTGAATAATTTGACACTCACAGGAAATATTGAATACAAGATGGATTGAGAGAAGACTACCCAAGGAGATAGTATAAATGAATTGCAGACATCAGGGAGTGTTATGTATAGGAAAATAAAAGATATTGCTAAAAACCATGATCGCCAATAAGGTATATGGAAGAAAACTAATTTACTGATGATCATATATTGTCTTAAAAATGAAAGTCTCAATAACAAAATAAAATGTCCTTTTGGGAGGCACGGTGGAGTAATGGATAGCGGCTTGGATTGAGGAATCGGGGAGCCGAGTTCGAATTCCAGTCGAATCCATTACGTTCAATTACGTGCTAACACCCTTGGGAAAGGTGTGAATCCTCTTTCTTCTCCCTCCAGCTATGGGTAAATAGCAGGACAGACTGGGTTCTATAGCCTTGGATGACAACTGGTCTAGAAGAAGGAAAACTCTGAATTCAAACCTGCTCTTAGAGGAGGGTGAATGGAGTCTCTCTGAGCCTTGGTTGGCAATCCATTTAGTGATGGTGTCACGATAAAAACACCCTTGATAGCCCTAGCGAAGCATCAAGAATTCAGCTATTTGACAAGATTATGAACTACACCAATCAAAGTATTGGTGAGTTCAATCTTGGCTGAGGCCGCAAGATGATGATAGCCTTGTGCCAATCTATGTTGAATTAATAAATATCACCTGGATATTTTTTTAATAATTTCATCCCATGGAAAAGCGATAATGCAGCCAGGACGCAATGGGGATACAGAGAGTGAGAAAGAACGAGAAGACTTTAGTGGGGAAGAAGTGAGAAGAAAGGAAAATAAATGAACAGGTTACAGGGAGACAGAAGATGGTGATTGGCGTTGATATATTTATTGTTTTTTTTTTTTTTTTTTTTGTGTGTGTGTGTGTGTGTGTGTGGTTTGTAGTTGGTTGAAACAGGAAATTATTAGTCGCTAGATTGTTGCATCAAAATAGTTCAACAGTAAAATGCTGAAACCTAGTTGCGAACCCATTACTTGCCTTGAGCCCCATTTGGGAATCTGTTACAATTAAACTCATTACATGTTATTCCTTGTATTTACAGTGATTTTCTCACTTACATTGCATTTGCAGAGGTATATTTTACAACACTCAACCTTTAAACATTTTTATAATTAACCATAAGAAGACACTTTCTGTCGTAATTTTACATTTCACGAGTAGAAAAATAATGACTATTTTAAAAAAGTATTTTTTATAATTTCTAATCAATATTAGTTTTTGATGTTTTTTACACATATATATTTGATGTTCTAGTTTCTATAAAAACGACAATGGTAACTACTGAAATTAAACATAAGGGATAAATAAACTCCTAAGTCACCTGTCTGGGCCAAAAATGTACATTAAAAAAAGATTGGCTGTTTATGGGTTAAATTCGTGCAGTAGGAGCCTCAAGAAAGATAGCTCATCAAAATAATTACAAAAAAAAAAACATTATCTGTTGAAAACTACACAATCGTATAGAAAAGTATTCTTCGGAAGTATATTATGGATCTATCTTCGAACTCAAGAAAAATATCATATTGAAAGCTGGTTTACAAGTCATGCATACAGTCCCGACGCAGATGACTAAAAAACTTAAGCAAGCCAAAGTAATTCTTTTATATGAGAAAGTTTAAACCCATTTTTTGTCCTGTTTCTAATCTTGTAAAACACGTAATACTTTTTATTCACACAGATTGTATACATTGGGAAAGTCGATAAACTGGCATTCAAAAGAGTTATATTAACAAGGAAATTAAGAAAATAATGATTTCAGAAGAAATCCGGGAATGATTATCCCAGTTCTCCAAAATTTAGAGATATGTATTTTAAATCTGTATTGCCGTTGTGTCAGGGAGAGATAAAACTGTACAAGCTACTCCATGTTTCTTACATTGATTCGACAGGAATATTTTCGGTGTATGCGTTTGTGTGTGTACGAGTGTTTGGAGATTGTGGTGTGGATCTATTCTGCAAATTTATGCTCAAGACTACCGGTTACCGGGGGCGGGGTCTTCAGAACTTAAAGGATACAGCAATCGATTCGTTCTGTTCTCCTTTCATCTCTTTGGTTTGATGTAAGTTTCTTCTTATGTAAAATAGGCAATCGACTAAATATACCTGCAATAGAAACAGCGGCGATTCTTCTGTAGACTTTACAAAAACTATCATATAGCATACATACATACATACATACATACATATATATATATATATATATATATATATATATATATATATATATATATATATAAATGCATTTAAGCATATATATGTATATGCTTACGTGTATTTATATATATGTGTCTCTACAAGTTTACATTCATGCACACACACACACACACACACACACACACACACACACATATATATATATATATATATATATATATATATATATATATATATATATATATATATATATAATTTAGAGATTATGTTTCATCAAAAGCAAAGGGACCACTGAGGTATTTCTGCAAGCAAAGTTTGTAAATAAAAGTGCTCAATCTCAAAGATAGTTCATTAATGCTAACAATTAGAATTAAAATCAAATAGAAGCTTGCGGAGGTAGTATCCACTAATATGCCGGTTTAGTAATAACATTTTACTATCAAACCTTACAATTTTACTATGAAGCCTCACTTAGGAAGTGGATATAATCTCCACAAATCTCCCAAGCAGGAAGAGATAAATTGAACAACTTTATCTATCTATCTATCTATCTATCTATCTATCTATCTATCTATCTATCTATCTATCTATCTATCTTATTCTGTTCCATATCTATCTATCTATCATATTTATTAACAATTATAACAAAAACATGTTATAAATAGCTACACAAATGCATTCATGTTATAACACTATATGGGCTTCTTCCGGCGATGGAGGTCAACTGGAGAACAAACGATCATTCTCTAGTTTAAAAGCAACACAGGAAGTGACGAAGGAGGAAATACTAAATTTCTAATATGCTAGGGAGCGATCAATTAACCAATCAGATGTCGGACCTATGATGAGTTGGAAATTAATTTCCATATTGGATTCATTTTGACAGCGCAAGTAATATAAAATCAACATTAGATGTTAACAAAGTGTTAAGTTTATAGTATTCTTTGGTCTTAAATCTATCTATCTATCTATCTATCTATCTATCTATACACACACACACACTCACACACACACACATATATATATATATATATATATATGAAGAAATATAGTCTTAAGATATGCTATATTTAAGGGATAAAGTGCTCAATATCAGAGATAGAGCGTGTGTAAATATTAAAAGTGAACATAGAAGTCAACACTTAGAGGCGACAGTCTGTTTCATGCTAGATGCGATCGTCAGGCCATGAGTGCTGATATTTTTCTCGGCTATTTATATATATACGGGTCAGTGGTGCATTGTGGGTAGTCTATTTTAGCGGTTATTTTACCGGAAGTCGTTTATTTATTTATTTGGGTTAAATTATTTTGCTTGTTTTTATTTATTTTTATTTTTTATTTCTATTTTTTACTTTTATTTCTTATCTTATATTTATATTTATTTATTTAATTTTTTTTTAATCTGTGTTTTTATTCATGTAGTAAAAATTTATTTTGTTTTGGTATGGGAAGATGAAGCTATTTATGCAATTTTGGGGTTCATTGTTGTATTTTGTTCTATTATTTTGGCGGGAACAGTTTTTAATTTGTTTATTACTTCATGTATTTATTTGGATTGATTATCTTGGATTGATATTTGTGTTTTCTACCGGTTAGTTTATCGGGATTAGTTTATTTATTTATTTATTTGTGTAAATTTAGGTCAATTGATTTTACTTTTTATTATTTATTTGTTATACTGTATATTTTCTCTTTTCGGTTTTCGATTTTTAAGTAACGTAGTATTTTTTATCGTTATATAACAGTTATAGCTATTTTTTTTGTCTATTTTTTGATTTGATTTTTATAGTCTAACTAATATTTTGGTCATAATGGTTTGCTAATTTGTTTATTGTTTACTTTATTTATTTGGGTTCATTGTTTCCCGATAAACTAACTGTTAGAAAAAAACATATATATATATATATATATATATATATAAATAGCCGAGAAAAAAAAACAGCACTTCGTGGCCTGACGATTGCATCTAGCATGAAACAGACTGTCGCCTCTAAGTGTTGACTTTCTGTTCCTTATATATATATATATATATATATATATATATATATATATATATATATATATATATGAGTTTATAAATCAAATGTAAATCAAATATTTTTTACAAACCTCTAATTAATACTGTAGAAGCTTTATGCATAAGTTTGTGTTTACATATGAGAGAACACACATCTGGGCCCTATGGATGTAAATATCTTATTTTTGATCATATTTCTGGCCAGTGTCATGATCAAGTGAAGAAATTAAGAATTTATTCTTTTTTCAATGGTTGAACTTTAAACAATCCGTTATTAAGAATGATACACCCAAACGTTTCAATGTATACTGCGCAACAGTGGGTTTGAAATAAATACAGAACTGGTGGAACCTAATCTATTATACGCATCACCCCACTCTACTATATCGCAATTTCCATAAGGCAGCGTTCAAATAAAATATACATTTTATTGTTAACTAATTATGTACAAAAATGGATCATATGCAATTTTGGTGAACAATTCAACTAAGAAAATGGAAAATAAATACACTGTATCTATATACAAATTAGAAACGCGTCAGAATAGATCATTCCATCTCAAATAAACCAACTATGTTTTACAGCAATTTTTAACATCAACTTGAATTTTTTTTTGTTGAAAAAATTGAATAATTTGGCACATTCAACATTTTGGGTAAAAAAAATAATGAATTGTATACAGTGTTTTTACGAGACTTAGCATTTTATACAGTGTTTTTTTTTTTTTTCAGAGACTTAGACATTTTTATACAGAGACTTGCATTTTACAGTTTTTTCGAGAAGCATTTTTATACAGTGTTTTTTCGAGACTTAGCATTTTATACAGTGTTTTTTCGAGACTTAGCATTTTATACAGTGTTTTTCGATACTTAGCATTTTATACAGTGTTTTTCGAGACTTAGCATTTTATACAGTGTTTTTCGATACTTAGCATTTTATACAGTGTTTTTTCGAGACTTAGCATTTTATACAGTGTTTTTCGATACTTAGCATTTTATACAGTGTTTTTCGATACTTAGCAGTGTTTTTTTTTAGCATTTCATACAGTTTTTTCGATACTTAGCATTTTATACAGTTAGCATTTTATACAGTGTTTTTCGATGTTAGCATTTTTATACAGTGTTTTCGATACTTAGCATTTTTATACAGTGTTTTTCGATACTTAGCATTTTATACAGTGTTTTTCGATAATTTTTAGCATTTTTGGTGAACAAGTATTTTTTTTTTTCAACAGTGTTTTTCGAGACTTAGCATTTTATACAGTGTTTTTTAGCATTTTATACAGTACAAAAAGACTTAGCATTTTATACAGTGTTTTTCGAGACTTAGCATTTTATACAGTGTTTTTTAGATTTAGCATTTTAAGTGTTTTTCGAGACTTAGCAGAATAGTGTTTTTTCATTTTAGCATTTTATACAGTGTTTTTCGAGACTTAGCATTTTTATACAGTGTTTTTCGAGACTTAAGCATTTTAACAGTGTTTTTCCAGAATAGCATTTTATACAGTGTTTTCGATACTTAGCATTTTATACAGTTTTTTTTCGAACTTAGCATTTTATACAGTGTTTTTCGAGACTTAGCATTTTTATACAGTTTTTTTTGAAAAAGCATTTTATACAGTGTTTTTGAATTTTAACAGTGTTTTTCGAGACTTAGCATTTTTATACAGTGTTTTTTTCGAGAACATTTTTACAGTGTTTTTTCGAAAAAATAAGTGTAGCGGTTTTTCGATACTTAGCATTTTATACAGTGTTTTTTCGAGACTTAGCATTTTATACAGTGTTTTTTCGAGACTTAGCATTTTATACAGTGTTTTTTCGAGACTTAGCATTTTATACAGTGTTTTTTCGAGACTTAGCATTTTATACAGTGTTTTTTCGAGACTTAGCATTTTATACAGCATTTTTTCGTGTTTTTTTTACTTAGCATTTTATACAGTGTTTTTCGAGACTTAGCATTTATAGTGTTTTTCGAGTGTTTTTTTAGACTTAGCATTTATACAGTGTTTTTATACAGCATTTTATACAGTTTTTCGAGACTTAGCATTTTTATACAGTACAGTGTTTTTTCGAGACTTAGCATTTTATACAGTGTTTTTTACTTAGCATTTTATACAGTGTTTTCGAGACGCATTTATACAGTGTTTTTTCGAGACTTAGCATTTTATACAGTGTTTTTCGAGACTTATTTTTTTATACAGTGTTTTTTCGAGACTTAGCATTTTATACAGTGTTTTCGAGACTTAGTGTTTTTCGAGACTTAGCATTTTATACAGTGTTTTTTCGATACTTAGCATTTTATACAGTGTTTTTCGAGACTTAGCATTTTATACAGTGTGTTTTTCGAGACGGTGTTTTTAGATAGACTTAGCATTTTTACTTAAGTGTTTTTCGAGACTTAGATAGTGTTTTTCGATGCCTTTAGATTTTTACAGTGTTTTTCGAGACTTAGCAACAGTGTTTTTCGAGACTTAGCATTTTATACAACGACATTTTTTATACAGTGTTTTCGAGACTTAGCATTTTATAGACTTAGCATTTTATACAGTGTTTTTCGAGACTTAGATACAGTGTTTTTTAGACTTAGCATTTTATACAGTGTTTTTCGAACTTAGCATTTTTATACAGTGTTTTTCGAGACTTAGCATTTTTATACAAACTGACTTAGCATTTTATACAGTGTTTTTCGAGATTTGTACAGCAGTGTTTTTCGAGACTTAGCATTTTTATACAGTGTTTTTCGAGACTTAGCATTTTTATACAGTGTTTTTGAATAGTGTTTTTTTCACTTAGCATTTTATACAGTGTTTTTTCGAGACTTAGCATTTTATACAGTGTTTTCGATACTTAGCATTTTATATACAGTGTTTTTTTCGAGACTTAGCATTTTATACAGTGTTTTTCGAGGACTTAGCATTTTATACAGTGTTTTTTCGATACTTAGCATTTTATACAGTGTTTTTCGGACTTAACATTTTATACAGTGTTTTTCAGACTTAGCATTTTATACACATTTTTATAGTGTTTTTCGAGGACTTAGCATTTTATACAGTGTTTTTTTCGAGACTTAGCATTTTATACAGTGTTTTTTCGAGACTTAGCATTTTATACAGTCTTTTTTGACTTAGCATTTTATACAGTGTTTTTCGAGACTTAGCATTTTATACAGTGTTTTTTCCGGACTTAGCAGTGTGTTTTCGAGACTTAGCATTTTATACATTCGAGGATAGTGTTTTTCGAGACTTAGCATTTTATACAGTGTTTTTCGATACTTAGCATTTTATACAGTGTTTTTTCGAACTTAGCATTTTATACAGTGTTTTTTTGTTTTTTTCGGACTTAGCATTTTATACAGTGTTTTTTTTTATTTTATACAGTGTTTTTATAGCAGTGTTTTTTTCGAGACTTAGCATTTTATACAGTGTTTTTTCGAGACTTAGCATTTTATACAGTGTTTTTTCGAGACTTAGCATTTTATACAGTGTTTTGACTTTTTTCGATTTTTAGCATTTTTATACACATTTTATACAGTGTTTTTTCGACTTTAGCATTTTTACAGTGTTTTTTCGAGACTTAGCATTTCATACAGTGTTTTTCGAGACTTAGCATTTATACAGTGTTTTTTCAGACTTAGCATTTTATACAGTGT